GGGGGGGGATTAATTGTAATTTTATAATATCATTATTATGTTTGCTCTTTGGTTTGATTGTTGTTGTTTTTTAAGGGGGTGGGGTGCAGATGGTTTGGGTCTTTTAGCTACCATATGAGGGCAGTCCGGACTATGTTCGGTGCAGACATCGGTTCTAAATTGCAATTGCAAGCCACCATGCAGGCTGGTCATAAACATTTTAAAAATAGTTCTTACGCGCTCGTTGACACAGTTTAGAATATTTCGGAGGCGGGCTATTTCGATCCAGCCTATCAGGGCCAATATAGGATGAGTGGAACGAAAAATGATAATAAATAGATGAATAGCGTTACCCAGACAGACGGATATACTCGCTAAAACTCCCACACAAGGGGATCGAATTCATGTCTTCTGCAGGCCACGGCAGAGGGCCAAACTGAACCACCACAGATATCGGCAGTGCCCTACTACGCTATCCTAGAGTTATACATTTCTATCTGATTCTGCTAAGTACCTAGTTTTGAGAAATTTGATGCAAAAAATTTTGAGTTTTGAATCATTCTTTTTCAAATGCAATTCTTTGAATATCTTGATAATGGCTCCGAGTAATCAAATGATTCTGATAGAGCAGATAGAATATCTGGTTTCTGACCTCTGGGTCTTAATAATTCAAAATGGCCAAAGACGTCGAATAGAACTTTGTAATTCTAAGGTAGCGACTAGTTCTGTATTTTGTTTAACATTGTGAGCGTCTATAAAATCTCCTTTTGAGAGGCCTTGTGTTCCCATCAGGAGACACCAACCAGCACAAAAGAGACAAGAATTCCAAGCAAAAAATGAACGAAAAGGCTGTCTCGACCTCACCAACAATGCTTGCACAACAGTGATCACCCAAACTACGGCTGGCGGGCCAATTTGGCCCACGAGGTCATTTCGTCTGGCCTGCTGTCATGCCACCATGCTGGTTTAAACAAAAACAAAAACAAAAACATCGGAAGATGAATAGGTAGCGTGGTCAGGACTTTGTCATCGATACAATCTAATCTTAGGAAAAGGCTCTACAGTGCAAATGAAACGTGCTTTTATAGGCTTTATAACCTCTAGCAGAGACCTTGACAGTGTACCAAAGCCATGCCAAGAAGTGCAGTCATTTTACCTTATCTGTCTCAGGAGACTTTTGGGCATCAAATGGTATGAGAAAATACCAGACACCGAAGTTCTCGAACGGGGAAATCCCGAGCTCAAAGGACTCAACTTCTCTTAGCTGGCCATGTCGTAAGAAAGCCTGATTTCAGAATCCAGAAGACGGTATTCTGTTTCGAGCTGTCCTCAGGGAAACGTAAAGTTGGAACACCAAAAGAAAAAGCGCTACAAAGACACCCTGAACATGTCTCTGAAGGGTTTCACCATTAATCTTTCGACACGAGAGAGCCTAGCTCCTTGCAGACCCATTTGGGGAGTAGTAACGTCAGACGGTAACACATCATGTTTCACGTATTAGAGATGCTGAAACCAAGAGTACATAAAATTATTGAACAACAGTTATCGAGAGGCGCCAGCTTGAATCCATTTATGATAACCAAAGATATATGAGAAAGATGCTTTGATCTGTATTGACTATTCTCCAGTTAACATTTCGTTTGTATTTGCAGATGATATTAGTAGTGAACTTGTGTTGTGGCAGGAACTGATCCTTTTAAATTGTAAAGCTGTTTTGATTTTTTTTCCTGAGATCTTTCTCGTTTTATTTTATGTTTTCTTATTTTCTTCTATTTTTTGTTGTTGGTGATTTTGACTTTTTCATTCCTCCGAAAGCGATTATAATCATGTTGTTAAGTTTCTAAGAATCCTTCCAACGAACTGAAATAGGTTGCATCTTCCTATATAATTTAATCACTATTCTTATTTATTTTAATCGACTATGCTTTCTGTCTCCTTCTATCCACCAGAGTGCATGCATCTCCGTCCTACTATACTCCTGTACATACAGTCCAGACATCCCCGAACAAGAAGACGAATGTCTTAACGATAACGAGAAAGTTCTCATCGTTTCCGTCAACGGACATCACGAAAACTGGAATCTCACCGACGCAGTCAACGGTTTGATCGTTGAGAATTACACATCTGTCAATGCTACGTTCAGTTCATTATTAGCTTCCAGCAATATTTCTTCATCGATCCTCTCGGATCAGATTACAACGATTTCTTCACTGTTGCCAAGCAATTTCACGTTGTTTAACTCTTCACATGCAAGCCCTGGATTTTTTAACAATTCTGCTGTGAGAAAGAGTAACTTTTCGGATTCTCTGTATGGCAATACTTCCGAAATCACGAAGTATAGTTCAAATAGTTCCTTCCCATGGATTACTAATATAACAGATACTATAACGAGTTCAATGTTTGGCACGATAGAAAATGTTACTCAGATTGCAAACAAAAGTTTGGACACATCGACGTCCAAAGAAGAGTTGGATAGTGCAGCTGTGACGTCAACAACAACACGGTTACTATCGTGGAGTACGGGTGACCTCGCAGAGAGGTATAACTTGACGACAATATCTGCACCAACAACCACCACGACACACTCGTCCTGTGAGAAGACCTTCATGCTTCTGAGCCGTGAACTAGAGAAAACAGAGGTGAGTCGTCGGGCTGTCTCTTTGTTTGTTTGTTTGTTTGTTTGTTTATTTGTTTGCTTATTTGCTTATTTGTTTGTTTGTTTGTTTTATGTGTGTTTGTTTGTTTGTTTGTTTTATGTGTGTTTGTTTGTTTGTTTGTTTGAGAAAACAATTACGACACAATTACGGTCATTTAGAACAAGGAAAAAGTAAGACAGACAGACAAATACAACAGAAGGAAAGTAATAGGGGATGCCCACTAGCGAAAGCGGGTCGGGTCGTCGGGTCGGGTCGTTTTGTGGTATTTTCAGTACACACTAAAAAAAACGCACCGCGATTGTACCCGACGACCTGGAAGTTAAAGTAGAGAAACCTTGAACCTCAATGGCTTCCAGAGCTCCTTTCTGCAGTTCCCTATTGCCGTGCTGCGGCTGCCTGGAATCCCATAAACATGGTTACAATAGTTACATCGATAACTTTCTATTATCAAAGATCGTTCATAAGAAGATAGTTCACTCGGCAAAAAAAGTGTCCGCGGAAGTCCGCGCATTGGTTCAAATGGTGCTGCAATCTTTGTTTTGAAGCTCTCTTTCGTTTCTCCAGAAGAAGAATTGTTTTTTGTTTTTGTAAAGTGTTTTACGGCGCTCGCAACTGCAGAGGTCATATGAGCGCGCGGGACACACCTAATATTTTCAGTTGGTAGGAAATTTTGAATTTTGCCCGGGAGAAGAAGAATAGGGATAGCACAGTTTCTTAGTTTCGCTTTTATTGTTTTTCACACAAGTGGGGTAACTCTGTTCGCAAAGTCTGCACTAGTTCGAAGAGGACGCCACCGGATTTTGAGTGTCAATATGGACACGTGACTCAGCCTTGTTTTGATTGGCTGCAAACCACCCGATCGCGCGATTCGCATGCCTGAAACATACGTGTTTGTTTTTGTAAGTCACAGACCGAGTCGATCGGTTTGTGCCTCGATGGCCGCTTTGCGCCCTCAATTTGGCTAGCCCCGACTACCAGATCGACCCGACCCGACCCGACCCGACCCTATCACGTATGTTGGCACCCCCTACAAAGATGTAGGACCCACCAGTCGGCGATCCCCAACCATCTGCAAGTCGTTTATAGAGCAAACCGATGTGAGCCTCTGTTTGGTTGTTTGGGTAAAGAGAAGCACATCGACACAATTACGGTCAAATCGGGGTGTGGGAAAAACAGCAAGAGAGACAACCAAGTACAAAATAGGGAATTCCCTGACATTGGATTTATCGGTGGCGCCTTCCAACCACCCGTGAGGTGCGAGAAATATTGAGACAAAGAGGTGTACAATAGAGGTGAGTTTGACAATGACTATGGCAATTTTTATTCATCTCAAAGGGAGAAATTTGTCTTGGTCGTTTACAATGGAAGTGGAATGTTACAAAGGTTAAGTGCCCCCATGTATACACACAACAAAACAGGACTTTAGTAAACACATGTTTTACGAGCTGAAACAACCCGCTTTGTAGAACATCCTCTCTCTCTCTCTCTCTCTCTCTCTCTCTCTCTCTCTCTCTCTCCTTCTCTCTCTCTCTCTCTCTCTCTCTCCTTCTCTCTCTCTCTCTCTCTCTCTCTCTCTCTCTCTCTGTCTTTCATTTGTAGAACTGTGAGTTCAGAAATCTCGCTGCAGTTTATACTGAGTGAGTCAAAGAGCTGTAAACAGTAGAAAACAGAGGTTCATTTGATACTGAGACAAAGATTAGAGGTGCTACAAGAGAGAAACAAACAAAAAAAGTAGAAATGATAAGGACGATAAATGGGAAAGAAGGAGCAAACCAGAGCACCCTTCAACCACCCACACTCTCAGGGTAACCAAATTTGGGTCACCGTGATGTCACCAGAGAAAGGCGTCGGTGGCCTAGTGGTTAGGCTCTCGGACTCGCAACCGTAAGGTCGTGGCTTCGAATCCCGTCAAGGGCCCGACGTTGTGTCCTTGGGAAAGGCACTTTCCTCACTTCACTCAGGTGGTAATGGGTACCAGGCTATAGACAGCGAAAGATCTTGTCAGTTTGTTAGTGTTTGAGCGCTTAATCAGCTGCTTGCACTGTATGCTTCCCGGGAAGCTGAGAATGTTTCGGAGTGTTCTATGGTCTGCTGGGGTAATGACATAATGTAAAGCGCATAGAGCCTGCTGCTGAGCGGGGATATGCGCTATACAAATGCTATCTATTATTATTATTAAAGATGTTTGCAACTTGTTTCAAGAATTGGGTAGATGTGGGGGGAGTTGAGCGGGGAAAAAAGTGGGGGGGGGGTAGGGTTTGATTTTAAAATGCTCACTCAGTGTCAATGTAAGTGTATTTTATGTCCTGTTCTGTTTCCATTTTTGTTTGAAGCCTAAAAAGACCTCAAAGGGCACTATATTCTCACAACCACAACCCTGCTCATCTTATCCCTTCCATCCCTCTCTAATTGTCCCGCTTGGAATTGCATCTTCTGCGAAGGCTTCAAAGGCGTTCTGTTAAAAGGACGGGGAAATTGCTCAGGGGAAAAAAATTCGTCTGCGTTGTGCAAAGTGAATTCCTGCGGACGTCGAGACCAGAAGCGGATAATTGTCCCCACTCGAAGCAGCTTGGTAACTGATTTAGACAATTTTGATAGGTCCTCCGTCTCCAGCGTCAGATCCTGATTGGAGCTTAGGGGGTTTAAATCTTAAAGAGCCGAATTGAGAGGAACCCCCCCTCCCCCTCACAAAGTGTCTCCCTCAACCCTGCCCCC